TGCTAGAGGAAGACTGTAAGACCTCTATAGAACATAAAAGAAGGATAAATCCCATTCTGAGCAACGTAGTCAAGAAAGAAGTACAAAAACTTCTAGAAGCAGAAATTATATACCCGATATCAGACACTAAATGGGTTAGCCCAGTACATGTCGTACCAAAGAAGGAAGTTGTTACAGTTGTTAAGAACGCGAAAGGTGAATCTATAACACAGAGAGTAGTAACTGGAAGCAGAATGTGCATTGACTATAGAAAGTTGAACAAAGCTACTCGTAAGGATCATTTCCCGTTGCCATTCATTGACCAAATGTTAGAACGATTAGCCAAACATTCTCACTTCTGCTATTTAGATGGTTATTCGGGATTCTTTCAAATCCCTATTCATCCCGATGACCAAGAAAAGACAACTTCCACATGTCTCTATGGTACCTTTGCCTATCGACGAATGTCGTTTGGACTATGTAACGCTCCTGCCACATTCCAATGATGCATGATGTCAATCTTTGTTAATTTTATAGACGACATCATGGAAGTATTTATGGATAATTTTTCTATTTGTGGACAGAGTTTTGAAGGATGTCTATCGAACCTAGAAATGGTACTTGAAAGATGCATAAAAGTCAATCTTGTATTAAACTGGGAGAAATGCCATTTCATTGTCAATCAAGGAATCATACTTGGACACGTAGTATCTGACAGAGGAATTGAAGTGGATAAAGCTAAGATAGATATTATAGAAAATCTTCAACCTCCGAAAATCGTACGAAAAATATGAAGTTTCTTAGGACACACCGGTTTCTATCGACGATTCATAAAAGATTTCTCAAAAATCACAAAACCACTGACCGTTTTTATTAATGAAAGACGCTGAATTTATCTTCGATGAGAAATGTCTAAAAGCGTTTGAACAATTGAAAACAGCTCTCATCACCGCACCTATCATGCAACCACCAAATTGGAACCTACCATTTGAAATTATGTATGATGCGAGTGATTATGCCGTAGGTGCAGTTTTGGGACAAAGAAGGGACGGAAAACTCCATGCAATTTACTACGCAAGTAGAACCTTAGATCCTTCCCAAATGAACTACGCCACCACCGAAAAAGACCTTTTAGCAGTCGTGTTCGCTTTGGATAAATTATGTTCTTACTTGGTAGGAGCAAAAATAATTATCTATACCGACCATGCCTCCATTAGATACCTATTAAGTAAGAAAGATACCAAACCCATATTATTAAGATGGATCCCACTCTTACAAAAATTTGATCTAGAGATAAAAGATAAAAAAGGAACCGAAAGTGTAGTTGCAGACCATCTGTCAAGAATATAAGGCATTAAGCCTTAACAAGTGCCTATCAATGATGATTTCCCATACGAACGACTCATAGCCCAAGTGGAAATCAATATGTTTGAACTAAACTTGAATGATATCAAATCAGAAGAATCAGTGGAAGAAATTCAAACTAACACAACACTCCTGTGGTATGCTGACTTTGTCAACTACTTAGCTGCCAGAGTACTTCCACCAGATCTAACTTATCAACAAAAGAAGAAATTCTTTCATGACCTTAAACACTATTACTGGGATGAGCCTCTGCTTTTTAAGAGAGGTGTCGATGGTATTTTCCGTCGATGTGTCCCTGAAGATGAAATATAAAAAATAATCTTTCATTGTCACTCTGCTCCTTATGGTGGACACGCAAGCACTTCAAAGACTTGTGTTAAGATCTTACAATCTGGCCTTTTTTGGCCTAATCTATGGAAAGATGTCCATATCGCGATATTAAACTGCGATCGGTGCCAACGCACTGGTAACATCTCTAGACGTGAAGAAATGCCACAAAAAGGTATCTTAGAAGTGGAAGTCTTCGAGGTGTGGGGGATTGGTTTTATGGGGTCATTCCCATCTTCTTTTAGTAATAAGTATATACTCGTTGTTGTTGACTACATTTCAAAATGGATCGAGGCAGTAGCCTCTCTAACAAATGACACACGAGTAGTAATTAAGCTTTTCAAAAACATAATCTTCCCTAGATTTGGTATGCCAAGACTTGTCATCAGTGATGGAGGTTCCCATTTTATATCAAAGATATTTGAAAAACTTCTGTTGAAGTATGGAGTCCGACATCGTGTAGCAACACCATATCATCCACAAACAAGTGGACAAGTTGAAGTCTTAAACAGAGAAATTAAACAAATCTTAGAAAAGATTGTAGCAACCTCTAGGAAAGACTGAGCATCAAAATTACATGAAGCTTTGTGGGCATATAGGATAGCTTATAAGACCCCAATAGGAACCACACCTTTTAAGTTAGTTTACGGAAAATCATGTCATCTACCTGTCGAATTAGAGCACAAAGCTTATTGGGCCATTAAGACCCTTAACTTAGATTATAATGCCGCAGGTGAGAAAAGAGTCCTAGACATTCACGAGCTAGAGGAACTTCATTTAGACGCATATGAGAATGCTAGGATATATAAAGAAAGAACTAAAAATTGGCATGACAAGCGAATTTCCCGTAAAGAGTTTAATGAAGGCGACATAATGTTATTATTTAATTCGCGCCTTAAAATTTCCCCCATAAAACTTAGATCGAGGTGGTCCGGTCCTTTTATAATAACTAAAATCCTTCCAAGTGGAGCTGTAGAAATAAATAACAAACCTAGTTAACCATTTGTAGTAAACGGGCAGCACTTAAAACATTATCATTGTGTAGACAATAAAGACGACTCCGTTAGTTTAAAGCTCATAGAGCTGCCCGTTCATTCTAAAAACTGTCGTTGCACTAGAACTATGTCAAGCTTAAGACGTTAAAAACAGCGCTTGGTGGGAGGCAACCCACGTCTTTTATTTAATTTTGCAGTGTTTATCCCTTACATATTGTTTTCCCTTTTATTGCATTTATGGTTATTTTTATTTTTGTGCTTATTTCTATTTTTATTTTCTCTCCTTCATCTCCCTTCTGAATGCCATAAGTTTTAGTCACTAACTTTGCAAACTACTGTGTACTTACTTACAGGCTAACTTAGTTTAGTTAGTAACTAACCTTCACAATGCAACGAGTAGACTACATGGGCATTGTTTTCAGAGGCAGAGCTCAGAGAAGGAGATTCGAGGAGTTAGCTCAGAGAGACATGGATCTCACTATTTACTATGATGGATGTACTATGGATAGGTTAGGTATCAGAGATAGCGTTTTGTGAAACAACAAAGGTGATCCTAAATTTGTTGATATGTCATATACATGTCCCACTTCTTTTAACATTTTTTTGAATCCTTCATTTATCTAATGTTTGGATATTCGTGTTCTCCATATTTCAGGCATTTGCAGACGAAATTGGAATTCCTTTCATGGAAACTAGTGCTAAAAATGCCAACAATGTGGAACAGGCTTTCATGGCCATGGCTGCTGAAATAAAAAACAGGTATAGAATTTCTACATGTAATGTTAATGGATCTTGATTAGCAAATCTACCTTGATGAATTACCCGATTTCACCATACTTCATTGTTTAAGTTTCATGTTTATAGTTGGGAGCAAGTAGTTCAGAAGAAACTGCGAAATTGATACGTTCTTTTCAAAAAGGTGTTGTGAAGGTTCTACACAAGTCCCACATTAATTTATGAATAAGTTATGAAAGAGTATATAGATCTGAAACAAATAAGTGGTAGTAACTTAAGTAGATTGTAATAATATTTGGGCTTAGTCACATTTTAAAAACTTAATTATAATATTTGTTTCATTTACAAATTTGATTAATTAATTAATTATAAAAAATAATAATAAAATCATAATCGTTAATTTATTTATTTATTAAAATAATATAAATTAATTAATTATTCTAATCAATAAAAAAAATCTCAAATTAAATTTAAAATGACATGGTATTGACATGTCATCTTAGATAACTCCACATCATTAAACAAAAGTCTAAAATTGGAAAAGAAACTAAAATCAAACTCAAAACTTAAAAATTAGACTAAAATCATGGTTTTTAAAATGGGGGAATCAAAACTCAAAAAAATGTAAAATAGAAGGACCATAGTTGCAATTAAGCCAACTTTTATATTTGACAGTGAACTTATTTAATATTTGAAAGTAAACTTATTTAATAATACAATAAACATCATGTTAGTATATGAATTAAGTACAACTCATAAGTTATTTGAAAAATAGAGAATGAATAGATTATTCAAAAAAAATAATAACAAATAAATAAATAATACACAAATAAATATAATTTTTAAAAAAACACCATAATGAGATCAATCCAACCGAATGAAATCAATTAGTTTGGCTCAGTTAAAAAAAAGAAGATTGAATTAATATAAATTCGGAACATTTTACTTTTTGAACAAAACCGGATTCGAATCGAAAAGCAAGTGTTCACATTCACACACAACATAGTTGAATCACATACACCCAATCTCACATGTAACCCATTTCTCAAACCATTACGCCCCAATCACCTTCCAACACCCTATGATCTAAAGCTTGAAGCACACGCAATCACATGATGCCAACAAGCACGCACACTCACTACCTCACCCAAAGGCACCGAATCATTTTTTCTCCAACGAAGGTTCCAACCACTTCCCTTAGCTTCCTTCTTTGACCATAACACTATCCCAAACCAAAACCCCCTTTCACCTTACAAATCCTTCACACACTCATTTTCACATTTGGTTTTTCTCTCTTTCGATTTGGTTTTTTTTTTTAGGTTTCACAACCTAATCCTCGAATCCTCGTACCCAGAGGTTCGATCGTATTACGTTGTGTTTTTTTTGTTACACCACTCATTGAATCGAAAAGCTTGGTTTTTTTGTTGTTATCCCTTTTGGGTGAGAAATTTGATTTCTCTAATTCGGAAATTTCGTCGCCGATTCTGAATTTTGGAAGGTTGAATCGTTTAATATTATTGTGGAATTTTGGTTTTGACAGTGAAAGTTTCCGTTTTTGGTGTTGGGCAATCGAGGGTTCTTCTTTGTCTTCCAATTGAGATGGGTGCGGTTTCGGAATCTGCTTCTGCTGATTGTTTCAGTGAGGTGATGTCGTCGATTCCCGGGTTTCGCTTCCATCCCACAGATGAGGAGTTGGTGATGTATTATCTGAAACGGAAGATTTGTGGGAAGAGGTTAAAGTTCAACGTGATTTGTGAAACCGATGTTTACAAGTGGGATCCTGAGGATTTACCTGGTATTTGATCTTTTGCTCTTGACTCTTATTCCACTACCTTTTTAATCGTTTTTGGTTTGTGATTGTTATGTCGTTGACCTAGGTTTATTTCCGTAGGGGTCTGTTTGTTGTTTAGGTTTATTTTTGTTTGATCGGTTATAAGGTGTTGATTTGGGTATGAATGTTTGAATCTAGTTGTTGTAAATATTAGGTAGATTACATAGCCATTCAGATATGACATATGCTTATTTGATACTTTGAATGTGTGTTTTCAGGTTAGAGCCCCAAGAGTTGACTTCAGTTTGTTTCAATAAGGTTTTTGTGTGTTATTTGGATTATCTTGATTTGTTCATCTCAGTGATTAATGTTATGATTGGTGTTTATTCGACGAGTGGTGCTGTTAATCTGTTCATTTTTCTGTTTCACATTTACATTTGTGGGTTTCATTGCCACAGTCAAATTTATCTATTTTGTGGGTATGTTGACTTGAGACCCCTTGGTTGATATGGCGGGGTGGGTATTTTACATGAATTGAAGTTTCAATCAACGCTTGATAGATCCATAGATATTTTTGGTTCTCAAATCTGTATCATGTGATGATCCGCTTCTATATGTTGTTAAAAATGGTTAATTGCAACTTGTTGAATTTATTCCTCTCAAATAATGAGTTTTTTGGAGTCCTAATTTTGTATGCTATATATGGCTGTAGTATTGTTTTAATTTTGATTGATAAAGCTTACACTTTTTCATATATTCTGGTTTGATTGCTTATACGCTTGTAATATTTTGCAGGGCAATCTTTCCTGAAAACTGGAGATAGACAATGGTTCTTTTTCTGTCATAGAGATAGGAAATATCCTAATGCTGCAAGGTCTAATCGAGCAACAAGACATGGCTACTGGAAAGCTACAGGAAAAGATCGTAATGTGATATTCAATTCTCGGTCAGTTGGAGTGATAAAGACACTGGTTTTCTATATCGGAAGAGCTCCTAATGGCGAACGAACTGATTGGGTTATGCATGAATACACCATGGATGAAGAGGAGTTTAAGAGATGCTGCGATGTCAAGGTATTATCTTAAACTAACTATTTTGTTAAAATAATTGTTTCTGTTAGGCATCACCTTCAACTATTTATTTACTGACTATCCTATGTTGTTATTAATTCATTACCAGGGCTATTATGCACTTTACAAGGTTTTCAAGAAAAGTGGACCAGGTCCTAAGAATGGTGAACAGTATGGTGCTCCTTTTAAAGAAGAAGAATGGGCAGATGACGATGTTGTAGATTTTAATGTAAATTCAGCTGAGCGGGAGGCTCCAAAGGCTGTTATGGACCCTCCTATTGATCAGCTGCAGCCGTTGTTGGATGATGAAATTGATGAAATCATTAAAGGGATGTGTGATGTTGAGCCTGTCCTTGAACAGGATTATGTGAATGGTTATACTGACTTTCCGCAGGTTTGTGATTCCTATTAATTTAAGCATGCCTTTATTTCTTTTTGGTTGTTGGAAGTTGAGGCAAGAACTTAAATCAGTACTTTGTATGTAATCGTCCGTTTTTTCTAGTTTTGATCGAAATGTTTATAAACTGATATCCATTTGTCAAAAAAGTTTGCAGCTGTGGGGGTTCTTTGGTGGTTGTAGTTTAATTTTTTTAGTTAATTAAAAAACGTGAAACTTTGCACTCCTAGTTATTAATAGAGAAAACAGAAAGCCAGGAATGCAATTTTTCTTTCAAATATACAAATGAGTTTCTGCTAACATCTAATCTTTCTGATTTTAATATTGGTCTTCTCTCTTTTAACTTCTATGCATGTTATTTTCTATAGCCGCTGACATGCATTTTTTTTCTTGACGCATATAGGTTGTTACTGAAGAAACACAAAGTATGGGCATGTGTCAGTTCTCTGAGGCCATTTTATTCCCTGATCCAAGTGGAAATTTGCAATCTAGCAGTCAACATTATGATGCGCAGCCCAGCTTTGACTTCAATCAGTCAGTTACTTCACAGTTTCATATTTCTGAAGCACCCGAGGTCACTTCTGCTTCCAACATTCAAAGTGAGGAGGAGCTCGTCTTTTATGACGACGGCTTCTTGGAAGTTAACGATCTCCTTGATACTGAACCTACAATTTCAAATTCAGAAAAGCTTAATGATGACCTCTTTGAGAACCTTCAGTTTGAAGATGGGTTAAGTGAATTTGATACGTACCAAGATGCAGATATGTTTCTTTGTGGCCTGGGGCCTATTTGTGACGAAACAGTGTCACATGCATATATGAATAATGGTGGCAGCAGTATTGAAAATCAGAGTCACCAGTTGCTGTCCGATATAGAAGTTGCCAATCAAACTGTTGATGATTTCTGGATGCATGTTGAAAGAAACACCCGCAGTCCAACAGAAGACTTCACTGGTTCTTTCTCTCTAACAAATCCAGGTATAGTTGTTGGCACAAGATACAATGTTGCTCATCCGCCAAACAATGATTTTACTTTCTTTGATTTGGATGGAGATTCAAGCTTTCTATCTCATTTCTGCTGAGCTCTTCACAGTTTACTGTGGTTGACACGCCATCTTATGCGCAGCAGAAACCCTTTCTGTAGTTTATTATAAATTAAAACTAAACTATATGGTATTATATTCCTGTTAAGAAAATGAGATTTGAGCCTTAGTAAATGTTATAGGCTATCCCTAATACGTCATAGTTTTTGGTCATGTTTAGGTGTTGTGTGTGACCCTGTCAGCTTTCCTACTGAAAGCACTATGGAAGACGTTGCTACTACAAGTAGATTCTCTTCTGCTCTTTGGGCTTTTGTTGATTCAATACCTACCACTCCTGCATCAGCCGCTGAAAATCCTTTGGTGAATCGGGCTTTGAATCGAATGTCTAGCTTCAGCATGATGAAGATGAAACCAAGCGACATGACTGCAGGTATTGATACTACAACTATGAAGAGAGCAGGCAGAAAGGGAGTCTCATTCCTTTTCTTCCCTATTCTTATTGCTATATGTGCTTTCTTGTGGGTTTCTATTGGAAATTTAAGACTATTAGAGAGATACGTCTCTCCTTGAATCTGTAAACCCAAAGTTTTGCTGCTATATATATAATTTTGTCTGAGATCTCCTCAGAGTTGATGAAAGCAATACTCTTCTAACATATTCTGAAAATAAAAATATTCTATCTGTTGTAAATATTCAACTCAAGATATGGTTTAGGGTAATTCATGAGTAGAGGCACTAATATCTCGCCGAGCCACTAAACTTATATAATCTTATTGTTGTTTGATTTTTTGGATTCCTCATAATGTACATAGATTGGTAGTAACTTTTGTAACCATCTCTTATTGCTAGTAACTTCTTCAGCATTAATATTATATTCCTGGATCCTGAATCACTCAAGTGTAAGTAATGAGTGAGGATTGTTATTTTGGTTATAATGTTCTACACAGAAAATCCAAATCAGGATTATTTGTAGGACAATCAAAATATACTTTGTAGTTTTGCTTCCAACACTTTACATGTTTTGGGGGTTGAAAGGGCTATTTACTGAATATTATGTTAGGTTATGTTTTTTCTTTTCTATCAGGGAGTTTTGTAATTTATTATAAAGTATTTTTATGAGTATTGGGTATTAAAGTAATAATTTTATTGATGCGCATTGTTTATCATGTAATATGGTAATTGACATGTAGGCAATTGTTTATCATGTAATATGGTACTCATGATAATAAATATAATAATATTATTATATTATATTATATTTTGATACACATAACATGATTAGATGTATCTTAGGTTAAAAAAATGAGATTATCTAAATATTTTTATAAATTTAGTAACTTTTGAAATTCTTACTGGTACTAATAGTTATTAAAATAATTTTAACTTTTAAATATTAAATTATCAATAAATAACTAATTCTATTATATATTATTTACGTAAAAAAATTAAATAAATATAAGATATATATAGTTGTATTCTATATGAAATATAAAAATAACCTTTGTAGGAAAATTACGTTTAGTTATTTAAAAATATATAAATACTTGCATTTTGCAAATTTTTAATAATTGTTTTAAAGTACCTAACTTTTATAATTAATTAAAAAATTATTTTTTGTTAGTATCAAATACTTTTTGTTTATTTATATTTTATTTAAACTTTTTTTGAACGATTTATATTTTATTTAAATTAAAATTTATTATTATAATAATATTTTATATGAGAATATTTATCTTATCTAGTCTTTTCTCTTCCATTATTCACCAAATGAAATCTTAATTATAATTTATTTTAACTTTTATAATTAATTCTTTTATTTAAATTTTAGAGTTTTAATTTAAGTTTAAATTTTATATTCATCATGTGTCATTTTCACTAAAATAGCGGAATTCGTTTTGTGAATTTAAATAGAGAAATTAAAATTGTAGTTAAATTTATATAATAAAATTAAATTAATATTCTTTTATTGATGAAGATAAAAAATTGTTAAAAATCAAGATAAAATAGCTGCATGTGAATATTTTGGCTTATGATTGATGTTTATTTTTAGGGTTATACATATATATTAAAATAAAATAATTTTTGAAAAATGTAATTAAATTAGAATTTAGTTTTTATGTATCTTTAGTATAAAAGTTATTTTCACAAGTCTTTATTGCTGTTTTTGGAAGAAAAAAAAAGAGTATTTATTTAATAAATATAAAAAAATAATATGCTGTTTCATTTATTGAAAATAATGTTCTTTTTAAAAATAATAAATAACATGAAACTTCAGAACAAGGCGGTTGATTGCTTCTAGAGTAAAAATATTATTGACCTCATTTTCTTAGGAGCTAATGAATATCTGCTTGTAAAATTTGTCACAAGTATGGGACATATAGTTTAATAGATAAAATAAATAAATATTTATATACTCGTTCTAATGAATATCTGCTTGTAAAATTTGTCACAAGTATAGAACATATAGTTTAATAGATAAAATAAATAAATATTTATATACTCGTTCTAATGAATATCTGCTTGTAAAATTTGTCACAAGTATAGAACATATAGTTTAATAGATAAAATAAATAAATATTTATATACTCGTTTGTTAATAAATAGGGATGATTCAATGATATTAAATAAATATTTATATACTCGTTAATAAATATGGATAGGGATTTAATGATATTTATATTCACAAATATTCGTATCTGTTAATAAATTATAAAAATTATTTAAATATTATTAATTTACTATATATCTTTTTATCTTTTAAAAAAATTAGTCTTCTTATATTTATTTATTTATTTTAATTTTCTTTGAAGAAAATATTTCATATTTAATTTAATTCTATTAGTCATTTCATATTTAAACTCTTTAATACTTCATACTTCACTTCAACAATTTCAGAGTCCAACTAACTAGTGTTGTCATTATCCACCTAACGGATATCCTCATGGATATGAGATGGATATGGATATTATATTAATTCAACGGAACGGATAGATATATCATAGCATTCGTCCTCATAGATATCCATTTACATCCCTAGTAATATTGCAGTAGAGATTAATATTCGCTTCTTTTGTATGTGAGTTCTGTTAGTCATATTAGTAGGAATGAAATTCTTTTATATATATATATATATATATATATATATATATATATATATATATATATATATATATATATATATATATATATATATATATATATATATATATATATATATATATATATATATATATATATATATATATATATATATATATATATATATATATATATATATATATAATAATTTGAGATATGTTTAAACTATTAAAAAATGTTAAATATATTCAGTATAATTGATTATTGGAGACAAATATACTCTTTATCTATCTTAACTAATAATTCTCTCACATTAATATAATATATTTTAATTTTTTATTGATCTTTTCAATAACTAAAATTGTGAAAATTATACATTATCAAAGTTACTGAAACAGGATTTCTTGATATATTTATGCTTTATTTTGGTTCTTTCATGTTTTCATTATTATAATATGATAATCGCAATTTTGACTTCAATTTCCATGATAGTATTCAATGTGCAACTAATTTTTATATAATAAGGATTTAAACACGAATATATTACAAAAACTAAAATGAAATAAGATAATTAAAAATTAAAATTTTTATAACAAACAGTTTTTTATTAGTAGTGGTTTTTTTAGCCAAATTATAATTTAAGAGCGACACTAATTCGTTTTTTTTTTCTTTAGCTATCTGTTTTATGGTTTGGATGGACTTTTTTAGTCTTTGTGACTAAAATTATTTTTTCCTTTTGTCTTGTTGGATTCTTGTTATGTAATTTCATGTATTTAGATGAATTTTTAGTTGTATTTTACAGCATCAAAGTTAGTGTTTTTCTATTTTTATAAAAATTAAAATAAAAAAAATGTAGATGTTATTTTATAGACTAATGTTCATATATCAATTTCAGCAATTTTTTACTTAATTAAACCATAATGTTTATATTTTTAAACAGACAGAGGAGCATGAATCTTTGATGCTTGATACACCGAAGATAATAAATATGGTAATGAATAAGGTGAACTGTTGATGGAGTAACTTCTTCATTTTAAGATAGTTGATGAGGTGAAAAATGCTTATGTTAATTAATCTTTGATGCTAAAAAAATAATAACCATGTATTACTATATTTAGAATATTTTAATAACATAACTCTAATATAAATGAAAGAATATATTGCATATTAAAGTTTTGTGTTTTTTAATATTAAGGATTCAATTTTAATCTATATATATATATATATATATATATATATATATATATATATATATATATATATATATATATATATATATATATATATATATATATATATATATATATATATATATATATATATATATATATATATATATATATATATATATATATATATATATATATATATAATACTTCAATTAAATATATTTTTTACACTACCCGTTGTTTTTATAAAGTTATATCACTTAAGTTGGACGATATATAAACCATACAAAAAGATAATTTTTTCTTGTTAAATAATTTAGTTTATCTTTATATGTTAAATTGTTCAAATTCACCTCAAATACGCTTACCATTGCGGATTGCGACTACAAAATATTATCCTTTTTGAATTTAAAAATTCGCCACAACTTTATCTTTTAGGAAAAAAAACGCAACTTTGGATTGAAGAGTATGTCTTATAATGTCTTATATATAAGTTATATAACTTATCACTCACATCGATTCTCAAGCCATGTAATATTATTTATGGTGTATTGGAACCTAATCAAATATTTTTCATTAAATTATTTTGAAGTTGAGTATATTTTGTATAAAATAAACAACTTTAGCATATTCATTTATTTTAAAAACATGATAAATGAGTCATTGGAAAGTGTAGTTGAAATGTATAACTTATATACAAGTTTGCCATTAATCAATAAATCTAGAGTCTATTAATATTAGTTTTTAATTTTTCAATTCACATAAATAAATAAAATTTGTTTTGATAATTATTTTTAACACAAATTTTCATTTTGATTAGATAAGAAAGTGAGAAAAAAGAAATTAAAAAAAAAATATTTAACGAATAAAGTAAAGAAAAAGTGAATGTGAGATATTTGATCGAACTCTAGTATGGTCGAAATTTGTTCGCAAGTAATGCGTGTTGTAGTCGAAGTTTGTTCTAACATGTATTAGTTAATATTGTTAGGTTTGTCACCAGGTTGAATTGAGTCTTACTTGTAGGCTCAATTGTTTAAGTTAGTTTGTATCATAAGTTAGCTTGTAATGGATAATCGTTAAAAAACCCCATTAAGTTAGTGTGCTAGTTTTCTTATAAATAACATGTTAGTCTCTCATCTTGTATAAGAAAAAATAGGAAGATAAAATATTAATTCAATGGAGAGAGGGGTTATTTGTTATTCTTGTATACTTGTAATCTTGTTTGATAGAGAAAGGAAAAAATATCAGTTTATAACCAATCCTTGTTGTTTCTTCTTGTTCTTCTTGGTTGTTTTTCCGTTAACCCTAACCATTGTGTGTTTC